GCCGTCATCGGGAGGCCAGAGGGCCGCCAGCCTGGCTCTTGGACTCAGGGGTGGCGCCCCCTAGAGGGAGAGTGCCCCCTGGTCCTCTTGCAGGGTCAGAAGGGTGGGTATGCATGCCTGGTGGGGAGCAGGGGGAGGAGACGGGGTAGTGCCCCCTAGAGGGAGAGTGCCCCCTAGAGGGAGAGTGTCCCCTGGTCCTCTTGCAGGGTCGGAAGGGTGGGTATGCATGCCTGGTGGGGAGCAGGGGGAGGAGACGGGGTAGTGCCCCCTAGAGGGAGAGTGCCCCCTAGAGGGAGAGTGTCCCCTGGTCCTCTTGCAGGGTCGGAAGGGTGGGTATGCATGCTGGTGGGAGGCAGGGGAGGAGACGGGGAAAGGTGTGGGGGACTGTTGTGGCCCTTGGAGCTTGGTAGGGATGGTGCCCCTAAGGTTGCCCCTAAGGCTTGGCAAGTGCCACTCTGGCAGGCTTAGAAATTTTGAAATAAATATTTATTAGTGGTAAACAAAAAACCAATGACAGTATGGTTTGATGGAGGGAGAGACACATATTTGAATAGCGACCCCGAAGCTACCCTGTATCAGCAACTTGATTTTTGACAGAGGTTCAAGAGTAAGTTAAAGGAGAAAAAAAGTAAATTCAGTGGAGAGTCTTTACGACGAACGGTGCTGCAGTAATAGGACAAGCAGAGAAAAAGATGTGCAGACTCCTTGGGGTCCTCTGTGTTGACCGTCATCCCGCCTGTAGACAGACATTGAATTTCTTCCTTTCCAGTCTGAGCGCCTTTGATTTTACTCCCTTGCTTTATTGCACTGGCTAGAACTCGTAGAGCTCTGTTGAATAGTGCCAGTGAGAGTGCATCTCCTCACCCTGTTCCCAACCTGCTGGGGGAGGGGGGCCAATCTGTGTGTTATTTACCAAGTTGAGGAAGCTCTCCTCTATTACTAGTTTTCTGAGAATGTCTATCATGAGTGGGTTTTGAATTGTGTCAGGTGCTTTTTCCATGACAGTGGATACAATCATGTGATATTTCTTCTTAAGCTTTATAGATTGATTCTTGGATATGAAACCAGCCTTGCATCTCTGGAATAAGCTCCACTTGGTCAGCATGTATAGTTCTTTTTATATGTTGCTGAACAAGATTTTTGCATTTATATTTATGAGAGCTTTTCATCTATATTTTTCTTTCCTTTTTTTTTTTCTTGGTACTATTTTTGTCTGATTTGGTATCAAGGTAACATTGGCCTCATAGAGCAAATTGAGAAGTGGTTTCTTTGCTTCCATTTTCTGGAAGAGATTGTGTAATTGGTGTTAACACTTCTTTAAATGTCTCATAGAATTCCAGGGAAACCATCTAGGCTTGGACACAGGTTTCTGGAGCCAGGCCTGCCATCACTTACCACTTTAGTGAATGCCAGGGCTAGTGGGCGGCCGCACGGAAGCCTCCAGAAGTACTTTGTTTCCTCCTCTCACAGACTCTGCTCCCCTCCCCCCACCTGGCTGGGGACTGGGGCTCCCCTCACACCCACACTCGTAGTTCCCACCAGCCAAGTGCCTCCAGGCAGGCCTGCTAGTAGTGGGCTGGGCAGGGGAAGTGGTGCGTGCCTGCGGGAGCTTGTGGGCGTCCCAGCGGGTGTTCCAACTCCCCCGTCCCACCCCGCCCCCTAGCATTTCCTGTGAATTACACCAGGGCTTGGTTCTGGGAGTCAGTGAGGCAGCATGCCCGGGAAATCGTGATCGGATCAGCCAGACGGTCTGCTTGATGATGTCTGCGTCGGACGTATTTATTCTTTCCTCAATGACTCAGAATGAGCCCCGTGATCTTGGGGCACTGGCACCCCGGTTTTGAAAGCTTACTGTCACTGCCTCGAGGGAAGGGTTTGGTGGCACCTTCACGCTTCCAGAACTCCAGGTTGGCAGAGTTGCTCTGTCCCCCTCCCTAGGCCCCAGCCATCCTGGCTTCTCTGCCTCCCATGGGCCCCTGTGCGCTGCCCCCACCAGGATATGGGCTTGCTGCACCCCTGGCCGGGGCCACCTCTCCCCCCAACATCCACGGGCTGTGTCCTCACCTCCGAGTCTCGTGTCACCTTCCTGATGCCGTTTTCCTTGACCTGTGTCTTCCTACAACCGCTTTAAAGAACGAAGATAAACCCGCTCCCTGTCTGTCGCAACCTAATTTTCCTCCTTCATGTCATAGCCTTCCAACGCAGCCTCCCTGCGACCAGATGTCTTGGTTTGGGCAACTGTCTCAGAATACCATAGGCTGGGTGGCCCAGAAATAGCAGGTTTATTTCTCACACTTCTGGAGGCTGGAGGTCCGAGATCTGGGCACTGGCAGGTTTGGTGTCTGGTGGGTTCTCATCCCAGATCTCCTCGCTGTGTCCTCTAGTGGTGAGTGGGGGGAGGCCCCCCCTCACGATCTGGTCACCCCCCAAAGGCCCCACCTCCTAGTGCCAGCACAGGGGGCGGGGGTGGGTAGGAGTATAATACAGGAGCTCCTGGGGCACTGGAGCATGGTCTGAGGTAGCAGGCATTTTTACCTGATCTGGTCCCCACAGGAAGCTTAGCGCTTAGACTATCTGCTGTGAAGATGTTGCTTAACAAGTATTTGTGGAATGCTTCCAGGCCTGCGTGTACCCACCCTTCCTGACTGGGATCTGCTGGGCCAAGTTGGGGGGTGGTTCTAGGGTCTCTGGAGCCCATCAGGGTGGACACAGTGCTGCTGCCAGAGTCACACGGTAGGCAGCCCTCGGCCACACCATCCCACTCCACCAGCTGGACCAAGTGCCTTTTCTCTTGGGGTTCCTACAGTGAGCCCCAGTGGGTGTTGAGTGGTGAGTGTTTCCACGCCTGTGCTCTCTGATATGGGCCCCGGTGGGCAACCGGGGGCAGCTCGACCAGGAGCACCTGCTGGAGATGAGCTTCACCTGCTCTGTGTGAGGCCCTGCAGGGACCCTGGGCAGAGGAGGGCCTGCGAAGGGGCTGGACAGGGAGCAGGCAGACGTGGCCCACGTCACACCCTTGACACATCTGCACAGTGGAGGTGACAGGGGGCACAAGGCCACCCCACCCCCCCCCGGACTGCACATCCCCGTGTGCAGTGTCCTTGGCCAGCTGCTCCCCCACCCCAGGCCAGCTCTCCGCTCTTCCCGTCCTGTTTTCGCCTTTGTCCCAGTCTCCCACGGTGGCCCATTCGCATCACCAGGACAAGACCATGGGAGGAAGAGACCAGATCAGGGGTTCCCAGGTCAGAGGACTGACACAGGAAGTGCAGAAGACCCCAAATGAAGTCCATTCCACGAAATCGGAGATCGTGAAAACTGGTTGTTTACATTTCCGAGCTTCAGTTTCCTTCTCTGTAAAGTGAGAGCACCGATGCCCGCATCCAGGAATTGTACAGGATCACAGAGGTGAGACCTCCTAACACCGAGGCTGGGCTAGCAGCGAGCCGTGTCCTCCACTCGGCTCCCCCCACCCAGCTCTGGCCCAGGCCTCTTAGATCCTGCCCCCACCAGCACCACCAAGCCCTCCTGTGTGTGTGGACCGGCCTTGGGCGGTGGGGAAACGGCCAAGAGGAAAAGCACAGAAAGACGCAGTCTTGGCTTCAGACTTTGGAGATCCTTATCGGGCCGGGAAGCTGGGACACCCACGCCTAAAGCGGGAAGCTCACAGCGCCAGCGCACAGCGGGGGAATGAAGAGAGGCTGCCAGAGCCCTCAGCAGCCAGGGCCAGCGCGTCCTCAGGCCAGGAGGGCCCGAGCAGCCCCCGGACCCAGCCCCGCCTCCAGAGCGCACGCGGACAACTAGGAACGCTGGCCTGCGGTGTTGTTTCGGGGGCAGGGCTCCTTCTGGCATCGATTCCGCGAGCCTCTACTGAGCACCTGCTTTTTGTCAGTCCCAGTGGTGGGCAAACCCATCCCCACCCCCGGGCAGCTCACAGCCTGGGGGTCGAGACACTGATCAGAGGACGCTAGGGTTAGTTTCGTGGGCGAGGCAAGAAGACCTCCCTGAAGCTGGGGGCTGCAGTGGTGCTCCAGTCCGCGGGCAGGACCCAGCCTGTGGTCGGTGCGCTTGCGTCCGAGATGACTGCACCGCGTGGGCTTCCTGCTCCCCTGTGCGCCCCGCCAGGGGGCCGGGCCCCTGTGCACTGAGGGGAGCTGGTGGCACGGCCTGGCCTCTAGACCGCTGCTCCGGGCCTGGGGCCCTCGGCCTCCCCAGCCGGCGCAGACCTGCCCCGCCCGCCCGCGGCCCCGCCCACGCGCCCCGCCGTGCTTGCGTCACCGCTCACGCGCCCCGACCGCTTGCAGCTCCTCCTACGCGCCGCGCCGCGCCTGCGTCACCGCCCAGCCGGCTGGATCTGGTTCTAGCCGAGCCCGGCCGGCCTGACATGCGCAGTGCGCGGGGGCTGCGGTGGCCAGGAGCCGCCGCGCTCCAGGCTACACCTGGCGGCGGGGGACCCGGAGGTCAGTACTCCCAGCCGGGAGGGGGCCGTGGGGGGCTCGGGATCTTGTCCCGCGGGGCGGGGGCGGCGCCCTGCAGGCCGCGGACTCGGGGCGGTCGAGGCCTCGGGCCCGCCGCCCCCGCGAGAGTTCCGGGCCCTCGCGCGTCTTCTCGCTCTGCCGGCGGGCGGCGTCTGCACCGCGCTCCCCGGGCTGTCCCCTCGTGGGGCCCCGCACTCGGGCCTTCGTAACCGGAGGCCTCCGCGGCCCCGCGAGGCCCACCCCCGCAGCGTTAAATGTCAGGGCCTGGAGGCGGAACCCGCCGGGGCATTTACCGCTTTGCTTGCGAAATCGCTTGGGTGTGAGTAACTCGTTACTTGGCTCTCTGACTTTCTTTTTTTTAAATTCATTGTTACACTCAAGAATTCTTGGAAGGGAGGAAAAAAGCCAACCAGTAGTTCCCTAGTGTTCTGAAATGATTATGGAAATTACAGTTAAAATTACAGTTAACGACGAACGACGTGATGGGGTAGTAACGTGCTTTGTTTGTCTTTTTTTCCTGAACAGTCTTCAGCCTGGTGCCTGGAGGGCCGCCGGGCCCCCGAGAGGCCCGGGTAGAGGGATCAGCACTCGGCCCCGGCCGTGCAGGCTTCTGTACGAAAGGCCCGGGGCTCAGGAGCCGCTGAGGAGGACAGTCCAGAGCCTGCTGGGTCGCCGTGGGGCCAAAACGTCATTGAAAATCCTGTGCAGAAATGTGGGGCTTTGCTTTGAGCGAAGCAGTGTCGGAGTGGGAAACCTGGTGGCCCAGGCCCACCTCGACTGAGCGGGGAAAGAGGTCTTGTACGTGTTTCTTACATTAAGATTCTGATTTTCCTTTAAACGGCAATATCAGGGCTGCCAAACTAGGAACAACTTGGCTAATTTTTCGGGAGTTGCTGGGAATGACGCCTTCTGCATGATGAACATGGCCCACAGTTCCTATACTTGACTTTTCACTCAGCTCTACCGGTGCTGACTGTGTGCTGCTGGAACGGTGTTTCCAGGTTAAACGCAAAATGCAGCCTGAACTCTTCCTGGACCTCATGTCTGCAAAGGTGAAAGGGCAGCGGGCTCTCCAGGGAGGAGGCGGGCGTAGCCGTGGCCTGCGCAGCGGCTTCTGTGAACACTGGCCGTCTAGCCCGGGTGACCTTTGCCTTCACATAGCTGGGATGGCCCACGTCAGGCTGTTGACTGAGCAGAGGGCAGCTGGGCCGCAAGCCTGTGTGGGCCTCCTAGTAGTGAAGGTTTCAGGGAGGGTTGTACATCACCCTCGTTCCTAAAACCCAAGGAAGGCCCGCGGGGCAGTGCTCCTCATGGACATCAAAGCTCCTGCGGAAGACAGCTGACACCTGTTTGCTTCCTGGATGTGGGTGAGAGCAGCCTAGAAGCCTAGCCGAGGTTCTGGGAAGCGATGAGGTCCTGAGGGTTCATGATGATGCATGCCCGCTGTAGCTGGGAGGGGCTGTGGGGTCCTCCTGGCCGGGCGTGTGACCTGTGCCTCCTGGTGGGACAGCTTGGCGTTTCAGGCAGCCCCTTCATGTCCTTAATTAAAGGACCCTGAAGACTGGGTGAGGAGCCAGGTTTCACCTGTTCAGGAGACGCAAGCCGCTCCCAGCTGCACCTGGTTAAGGACTCGCTGAGCCCAGCTCATCAGGAGCCGATGGCCTCTCTGGAAGCGGAGTTGCCCCCAGACTTGGAGTAGATGGTGGGGCCCCCTGTCAGCCCTGCCTTGGAGGGCTGGAAGTCTTCCCAATGTCGCGTGTTCTGTGCTCCCAGGCCCCTCTGCCGTGTGTTCTGAGGTCTCATCTGAGACCTCTAACCTTGGGAACCATGTGGGACTGCACACTGCGCTCCTGTCCCCTCAACCTGCAGGGCACCCACGGTCCCCCTGAGCCGGGCGCTCCTCACCCCAGCCTCCTGGAGCCGTCCCCCAACGGGCCTGTGTCAGCTCTGTTGTGTCCCCTGAGGCACCAGGCGCAGGCCTGTCCACACAGTGCCCTGGAGGGGAGGTGCTGGGTGCACCAGGTCCCCCGTGTCCAGACTCTGGGCCTCGTGGGCTGCTGCTGACTGCCTCTGCCTGCCAGCAGGCATGGTGCTCACTGCCCCCACTGGCTGACTGGTGGGGGGAGGGGGGCATGTTTGTATTTTCGCTGCACTTGGCTCTCTGGTGACCACAAGTCCCCGAGGGCTCCCCCATCCCCCACGGCTCCTCCCCAGTGTGGGGTGTCCCGCCTTCCAGCCCTCCCTGAAGGCTCTAGCCTGGCTTCGCTCCCTTGTCCATTCAAGGGCAGGAACAGATGGGCGGCCTTTGTAAAGGTAGAGGGAGTGAAGCAGCATTTGCAGCATCTCAGGACTTGCTGTCTCCAGGAATCTAATCTGATCTTCACAAACAGGGCTCCAGTCTCAGGGTGTTCGCACCAGGCCTCCTGGACACAGGTGAGGGTTCACAGTCTGCCCTGGCTGGGACACCACCACCACGTCTCTCCTGGCCAGAGGAAGCCAGAAGCTGGTTCCAGCACAGCCTTGGCAGGTCTCCCCCGCCCACGTCATACAGGCTCACGCTCTGGGGGCCTTGGAAGGATTTGTCCGGCTGGTCACCGTCTCCCTGGCTTCAGCACCCTGATCTGTGTATCCTGTGTCTTCTGGCTTTTCCTGTGTACATAGACATAAACGTTCGTTTTAATTCTTCGGTCACAGGAGAAGCAGGGTGAAAGTTAAGTCTGGTCCTTGGTGCCCCCAGCCTGCTGAGTGCATCCAGGCTCAGCCTTGGTTCCGAAGCTGGTCTCTGAGGAGGGCCAGTGTCTCCCACCCAGGTGGAGGGCAGGTCCTGCTTGCAGCCAAGGCTGCAGGGTTTGAAGAGATTACTGTGAAAGACCCTCCCCGGAGCCCTGGCTTGTCTGGGAGGGCCGTCAGCCTGTGGCTATGGTGAGACCCGCCCACAACCCCGGAAACCCTCTCCTCTTCCTCTGTGCCTGAGGGGCTGGTCTCACATAGGATTCGTCTGTGTGTGTGTGTGTAAAGAGGATCTGATATGTTTGTCTTACTGTCCAGGCCCCACGAAGAAGGGACTGGAAGGGTGGAGGTGGCCTTGGGAAAGGGACGCCCTTCCTGAGGAGAGCCCGGGGCCCTACGTGGTGTCAGAGCCAGAGACGGGCTGGGCCTGGTGGGGTCCAAGTGCGGGCTCCGTCTCACCAGTTCGGTGGCTGACTGGGTTTTAGCCGCTCTTCCACTGTGCGTGTTGCCAGTGGATGAGAGTGGCCCCGGGGGTCGGGGGGTGCATGAGATCTCACTGTCCCCTCGTGTTTCTGCGCCCGGTGGGTTGATGACTCGAGGCTGCGTGCCGTGATCTGGTCTCCTGGTTCGCTCATCTGAAGGCTCTGCAGCGTCCGGATGGAGGGCCCGGCTCCGAGGGCCGCCCAGCAGGGGCAGCCGCTGTCCCTGTCCTCCAGGAGCTCACTTGGTCCGGCCGTGCGCTCCTCGAGGCCAGAGCCCGCGTCTGCTTCCCGCCAGCACCAGCGCCTCTGCGGGGCCAGGACCCACGGCAGCCCTGCGTCCCCGCCGCTCACAAGGTTGCTCACAGCCCCCTGCGTCCTGTGCTTCCTTAAGTTTGGAATTGTTTTAACCAGGGCGCTGCAAACAAAAGGGCGAGCAGCTGTTTCTGAGTCAGCAAAGGTCACTCAGCGTCATGCCTTGGAATGAGCCCTTAGAGAACCTAACGGTTTGGACCTGCATTTTGTATTTTTAGGGGTAACCTAAATCTCAGTGTCTCCGCTGTTTCTGCTGTGAGTGTGTAGGGAGGCTGGGCGGAGGGCTCATGGAGTCTGCATGTTGCCTCCCAGGTTGCATCTAGCTAATTGCAAAATGCAAAGTTTTATTAAAGTATCTAGGAAACATTCTCTCTTTTGTTATTTATCTTAAGGGAAAAAGTAATTGGCTACTGCAAGTAGTGCTTGGTCGCTGAGCTGTCTCCACGGACTGTGGCCCACCAGGCTCCTCCGTCCACGGGGTTTCAGGTCTGCCCTTCACTCCACAGCGTGCGTCACCCTTCTGAGTTTGAATAATTGCAGTAATGCGTCTGGTGAAAGTTTAGTCCTCAGTGGAGCAGCGTCTCCTGGGAGCTGCAGGTAGGGACTGGGCTTCCTGCCCAGGACACCTGGCTTCACACCGGAAGAGTGGGCTGCATGGCCTGGGGAGGCACCCGCCCTGCAGCCCTGAGCTCTGCAAGAGGAGGCAGGGCTCTGGACCTTGGCAGTTGTTGAACAGAGACCTGTGGTTGAGCACTCTGGCCTCCGAGCAGTTCTGGAGAGGAGTTGTGCCCTTTGGGGTGCTGTCTAGCCTGTACAGGCGCCGACAACCAAGCAGAGGCCTGGACCCTGCCGCCCACACACACACACACACACACACACACACACACACACCAGGGTCACTGTGATTGTGACCCCAGTCCTCACACCTGGGCGAGGGAACACCTTACAGCTCAGACCTGGTTCAGGCTTATGTGTTACAAGGATTTTTAACACACACCTTTCTAGTCTACTAATTGTGTGGGGTTGGTTGAGAGGTTTCACCCTGACAGAGCAGGTGGGTTATGGGCTGGTGGGTGGGGGTGCTGCCCTGCAGCTTGCTGACCCCCATTCCCAGCCTCCCCTGCCCCTATATATAAGCGGTCAGCCAGGAGCAGCCCCCTTCACCCCAAAATCCCAACTTGGGGGCATGCCTTGCTGGCCCAGCCAAGTCCAGGTACCTGCAGGTGATGGTGGGGGAGGGGAGCTGGACCCCTAGGCTGCGGTGGATGCTCTTTACAGCAGGAGACTTCTGGGGCCCATGTGGGCAATGGGCACCGCCCTCCCCTCGCCGGGTCAGCCCACCCTGGGACCCCCAGCTCCTGGGAGCTGCTGGAGAGATCCCACCCTCGGGCCGCAGTGAGGCCTGGGGCATGGCCTGAGACCAGAGGCGGCCCCGGTTAGCTCGGGGTCTTGGAACTTGCCCATCTCTGAGGGAGGAGAGCCCGCCAGGCCCATGCCGACCCACAGCTGTGGTGTAGCCCGTCAGCACGAGATGGTGAGGGCCCCCAGCACAACCCCACTCGGGCCATCCCAGCTGAGCCTTTCTTGGCCCCTCCCCAGACCTGGGACCCTCAGGGTGGAGAGGCAGACTCTCTGCCCCCTTCCCAAGCATCAGGGCCTCTGGGTGGGAGCTGACAGGGGTTCCAGGCTCCACTGGGAGCCCATGTGTGTGGTCTGGGAGGCTGAGGTGGTCCAGGCCTCAACCCTGGACCTCACTCCATTACTCACCCCACACGGTGGGACCTGAGAGCCCTGGGGGGCCGCACTGACTGGCTATCTCCACATGCACATGGAGCAAGAGAGCCTCACCTGAGAGGTTGGCACGGGGCCAGGGTGCAGGAAGGCCCCAGAGAAGGGACACTGACCTGGCTAGCAGACCCCTCTGTGCCCTCCCAGGTCTGTGCTGGGCCCGCCAGCCTCCTTTCGTGGCTGAAGACTCTGCTCCCCGAGGTGGAGGGAAGGGAAGAGTGGCTGAAAGAGGCCTCTTTGTAACTGGAGACCCTTGGTCACCTGAGTGTTTGCAGGGCGCCAGCCCTTCGTGTGTCCTGATAGAGAGGTAGTTGGACCCTTCAGATCCGCCCACGGCCCGCGGCCTCCAGGGAGTGCCTGGGTCCGTGTCCCGCCCTCCCAGACCCACGCTGGCTCACATTTCTGCTGCCCTTCTGCAGTGGGGGGCAACCCTCCTGCCAGCCCCCTTCCCGCGTCCCCTCCATGGGGACAGCGGCACCTTGGGCCAGGGGCCCATCGGGCCCCCCACGAGCCCTCGGGGTGGGCACCCAGCTCCACCCTCGCCAGGTCTCTGATGGGGGCCTCTCTGGCCTGGGGGCAGCAGCCAGCACCCCGTGAGATAAGACAGGTGGCTGGGACCCCCATGTCCTAGGAGACCCCCTCCTGTCCCTTCCCTGACCTGTCCAACCTGCTGGCCTCCCTCGGGGGTCGGTGTTGGCCCATTCCCAGGACCTTCCCCGGGACTTGGGGCTCGGTGGCCAGTGCGATGACCCCTACGTGACTCAGAGGGGCCGGGCTCCCTGTGTCCAGTGTGGTTTCTCCATGAGCCGGGGGTGGGGGTTGGGGGGGGTCTCCTAGACCCCAGCCTGCTGAGCTTGGGATCTGTGACAGCATAAACAGACCTGGAGTGCGTTGTGCTGGAATAAGTCACTGTGATTTCACACACGTGGCGTCTGCAGCACAAGGAGGCAAACAGGAGGGTGCAGAAGACAGGGTGGTGGTTACAGAGCCGGGAGGCAGGGGCAGGGTGGGGCGGTAAGAGGCTCAACTGCAGGACAGGTGGAAGCCGAAGGGCTGGTGGTGAGCGCTTCCCGGGCAGCGATAGTGATACCAGCCCCTGGGTTGGGAAGATCTGGAGGAGGGCGTGGCAACCCACTCCATTACTCTTGCCCAGAGAATCCCATGGACAGAGGAGCCTGGCCGCATACAGGTCATAGGGTTGCAAAGAGACAGACACGACTGGAGCAACTTAGCACGGAGGCACACATGCACGCCATGAGGTCCTTGGAAGTAGGAGCTCACGTCGTGTTTCGAGCCAGTGTCACTACAGGGGAGAATATGCTGCTTTCAAAATCTGACTTTATTCCCTGTCAGCAGGAGTCTGGCTGTGAATGGAGTTGGTGTTTTAGGCATGGGTGTGACTTTAAAACCTGCACATGCCCTGGGGCAGCCGTCTGGTCCGGGCCCTGCCCCCACCCCGGCCCTGCGGGGCTGCTTGCGTGCGGGGGCGTGTGTCCCACCTCAGGGAAGGCACCTCCTGTGCAGGTGGGCCGTGTGTCTCACGTCAGGGCTGCCGGGTGTCTCCGGGTGCAGCCCTGAAGCTCCACGAGGCGGTAAACCCCAGCTGGTTTCAGGAGAAGGCTGAAGCAGTGGGGAGAGCATCTCTCTCGTTTTAGAAGATTCCGGGAGGAGTGGGTGTGGCGTGGGAGCACAAAGGGCGTCAGGGGTTGGCATCCAGGAGGAACCTGCCTGCCAGGGGTCCCACTGTACCTCGCTCTCCGGGGTGCGGGCTCTGCACATGGGGCGTGCGGGGGCAGCGCCCAGGGCTCCCGGCCAGCACCCTTCTGAATTCGCCTCGTCCGGCTTCCGGGAAGGTCCGGGAGCTGCTGGCCTCCACTCTAGTTAGGCTTCCTGGGGGCGGGGCGGGGCGAGGCGAGGCGAGGCGAGGCGGGTTGCATCACAGCCCTGGCACCTCCGCCCCTCCTGCTGCCCTCAGGCTTGGGGGGCGGTCCTCACAGCTCCCCAACCCAGGTCCCGGGCAGAGGGGCCCGGCACAGGCCGGGGGGTCCCAGTTCCTGTGCTGCCCCCTTCCGACGCCCTCACGGAGGTTCCTGCGCTTCCAGGGGTCCGCGTCCGCATCCGTGTCCCCGGTGGAGCAGAGGGTCCTGGAGAGGAAGCTGAAGAAGGAGCGGAAGAAAGAGGCGCGGAGGCGGCTGCGGGAGGCGGGCATCGCTGCGGCTTCAAGCCTGGCGAGCAAGCGCTCGGGGGCCGCGCTGGCCCTGGAATACCTGTGCAGGTGAGCGGGGCGGGGTCACCGCCTCCGCGCGGTCGGGGCGCTGGGCCTCCATCTCATCAAGAAAACGAGAATCAGCTGAGCGCTGGACAAGACGATGGCCTCAGGGTTTCCTTGAAAGGCTCGTGGGCGCGTGATGGCGGTCGTGTCATCAGCCTGTCACTCCCACCCCCGTCACCTCTCACCCTCAGCATCGTTACCGCCCCGCACCGACGCTTCCCTCCAGGAACTGTTCTTTCGTGCGATCCTGGACACCCAGCCAGGGGCTGGGGTTGGCAGCCTGGAACCGGTTCAGGAGCAGGGCTGCTGGGGGCCCTCAGGGCGGTCTGGGAGGGCAGACAGGCCTGGGCACGTGTGCGGAGTGAACCCAGAGGTCGGCCAGGAAGGGCGCGGTGGAGACGGTGGGATTCTGGAGCCTTCTCGGAAGGAGCTGCCCTGCCCAGCAGCCCTGGGGCTTGGTATACAGCAGAATCCTCCAGATTCCTGGACAGGGCTGAGCACCCGTGAGTCAGCTGCAGGGCATCCTTTCTGCTTCTCCCCTCCCCTCCTCTCCCCTCTCCCTCTCCCTCTCCGCTGCCTTGGCTAGAGCTTGGGGACCCCGCCCCGGGCCTGGGCAGGGCTCACACGTGCCCTGGGGGACAGATTGGGGGCTGCCTTCCCCCCAGCCCATCGGAGCTCGGCACAAAGTGGGGGGCACAGGCCGTGAGCAGGACGGTGTCCGGGGGGGCCTTGGCCCTGCCAGGATTCCTCGCGGGGCGGGGGCACACTCCCCACTGAGACCTGCCCACTGTCTGTAGGAAATCCACCTTCGGTTCAGTGCCACCTCCTCACAGGAAGGTCCTCGACCTGCAGTGACCACCCTTGACAGTGTGGAGCCCAGGGGTCAGGAGGCCACCCGGCGGAGCAGCCTCCCCGACCCTGACCCTGGGTGACCTCTGCGAGGTGGAGGGTGCCATTGGGACCGAGGCCCCTCGTGTACACCTGGTCCCGTCCAGGCGCTTCCACCTGCAGCAGCGGCCACAGCCTCGGGGCCCGCTGGCACTCGGGGGCGGCTCTGCAGACGGTGGTCCCAGGGAGTGGGTGGTGGACCCACCCTCGATCCCTGAGGGACCAGCTTCCGGAGGTCGCCAGAGCTGTGGCAGCGCCTGAACCGGCCTATCCGCCACGTCTGGGAGGAAAGCATCCTCGTGGGGTTCGCTCACCAGGCCGCCGCCCCTCTGGAGGGTGGGGCTCAGCCCTCACTGCCCCCCCAACACACACATACACACGAGCGCGGCCTCCCTGCTGACCTCTGAGCTCACTGCAGTCACACAGACCCTTTCTCTGCAGGTTCTCCCCTGCCGGGGGCCCAGGATCACTGGGCGATGTCCGCCTGGTCCTGGCGTGTCTGTGGGCCCCACACCCCCAAGGCCCCGCCCAGCACCACTTTCTCCCCAAGGGTAGGGCATCTGAAGCCAGTTCAAAGCCCCCAGGCCCCGGCGCCACCTCTGGGTCCCCGCTGACCACACTGGCATTGAGTTGACCCTGATTGGAGCCCTGGGTCAGGGAAGAGGCATTGCTTTGGGCAGACGCCCTGTCCGTCGTCGTCAGCAGTGAGGGAACAGCGCCAGTGGAGCCTCAGGCCCCAGGTGGTCCGTCCCTCCCAAACCCTCGGACCTCTCAGGAGGGACCGAGACCCTGGGGGAAGTGAAGTTTTCAGGGGAGGTGAATGGGCCAGGGCGCGATAGGGATGGAACCACAGGTGGGGGACAGGGTGGGTGTTCCTTCTCGTAAAGGCCGATCTGCTGTAGCAGGAGCCAGACCCCTCCGGGAGGAGGACTCTGCAGAGCGGGGGATGCGAGGGGCTAGGCTCACGCGGTGGGAGCGCGGCCCGCGGGCGGCCTTCGGCTCGCGGGGGTCCCGCCAGGGGGCGCTACGCCGCGGGGACCTCAGCCCTATCCGAGAGTCGCGTGTCTCTGGGTGATTGTGTCCTCCCGGGAGGGACGCGCAGGGGAGGGGTTCTCCACTGGCCCAGGCGGACGATGAGGTGGCTTCCTGATCACCACCATCGGAGGAGTCCTAGGGCAAGCGGGGGCCCCTCGGGGTGGCCTACAGGGGCCTTCCGCGAGGGGATGGCGGGGGACCGCTGACTCCCTGGCCTGGCGGCCCTTCCTTGGGCCGCTTCTAGGCCCCAGCTGGTCCCGTGCGCCCCTGCGGATGGGGAAGGCAGAGCGGGGCCCTGTCCCGCGTGCACCCGGATCACAGGCTGGGCGGCTCGGCGAGGAGGCCCTCCTGCCGTCCTGCAGCCGCAGAGCCGCCCTCTGCCCCTCCCACGCGGCCGGCAGCTCGGGGCCCAGACCTCCGTCCGCCTCGCGGCCTCCATCCCAGTGTTTGGGTCTCCACTGGGCTCCGGCTTGGCCTGGGCTTCTCCCAGTGTCCTGGTCACCCGGGGCCCAGCACATCCAAGGCCTCAGGGACCCCTGTGTGGCCCTTGAGGTCGGGGGTCCTAGCTGCTCCCTGCCTCCCCTCACCCATCCTCCAGGGCAGGAAGGCTGTGCCTGCCCCTCCAGGTGATCAGGTGACCCTGCCTGATCCGTGTTTCTGGAAGAAGGACCGAGTTTGTGAAATTCAGAGTATTTCCGTTAGAATCATAAAACAGTGGCTACGAAGAAAGTGGCCTTGTGCCCCCTGGGCCTGATGTCCCAGCTGAGGGCCCCCAGCAGGCGAGCAGAGACCTGGCGAAGACTCCTGAGACCCCCGACCGGTGCCGCCCTCCCTGTGAGGATCCTCTGCAGATGCCCTGGCCCTCATCAGGGAGAGGCCGCCTGCGCCTCCCCTCCGGGACCTGAGCCGCCCTGTCCTTGTTCCCCAGCTGGGCCCAGAAGCACGAGGACTGGAGGTTCCAGAAGACGAGGCAGACCTGGCTGCTGCTGCACATGTATGACCGTGACCAGGTGGGGCTCCTCCCCCTGGGGCGGGGAGGCCTGTGCACACGGGGGGTGGGGGGCACACGTCTGTGCACACGGGGGAGGGACGCCTGTGCACACGGGGGCGGGGAGGCCTGTGCACACACGGAGGGGCAGGGGAGGCCTCTGCACACACAGAGGGGCAGGGGAGGTTGGTGTGCACTCAGGGTGGGGGAAGGCCTGTGCACACTCGGGGGGTGGGACATGTCTGTGCACACTCGGGCGGGGAGGCCTGTGCACACGGGGGGTGGGGGGCACACGTCTGTGCACACGGGGGAGGGACGCCTGTGCACACGGGGGCGGGGAGGCCTGTGCACACACGGAGGGGCAGGGGAGGTCGGTGTGCACTCAGGGTGGGGGAAGGCCTGTGCACATGGGGGGGACACGTCTGTGCACACTTGAGGGGTGGGGAGGCCTGTGCACACTCGGGGGGTGGGGGAGGTCGGTATGCACTCAGGGTGGGGGGAGGCCTGTGCACACTTGAGCAGCAGAGGGTGTGGTTGGGTCTCCCCATGATGGAGGGGAAGGACCGGCTAGCAGTGCTTGCTTGGGCCACACTAGACTCGGCCTCCCTCCAGGGGTGGGGAAGTCCTCCCCCTCCCGTAGCCTGTGTTAGGAGGACAAGGAATCATGGAGCTCACGGAGGCCTCGTGGGAGAACCCCGCTGAGCCCTCCGTCTTCCCAGAGATGAAACTGGGCCCAGAGGGAGGGACTCCTGGGGGTCAGGGAGCAGAAGCCCTGCCGGCTTTGCCCAGCGGCTGGACTCAGCCACAGGGCTCCCGGCTCTGGGGCCGCCACTCCAGAAAAGCCACCGTCCACGTGTTTGGAGGTCTTGCCCACTCTGCCCCGCCACGGCTCCTCCGCTGTGTCCGGGAGACGCCGTCAGACCCAGCGGTGCACCTCTCTGACGATGGGGCGTCCACCAGCAACGGTCCCGCTGTCTGTGCGGGGTCTGTGCAGAACCGCGCTCGCCGGGGACCTGCCCCCGTCTCCTCTCTGGCCTGGCCCGCCCGGCCCTGCGTGCTCAGAGGACAGTTGCGGGGCGCCTCTGTGCCCGGCGTGGTGGGCTGGGCGTGGCCGGTTCGCGGCGGCTTGACTTCGATGTCAGTCGTGTTACTCGGGTGGCTGTCAGCTTTGTTCCTGTGACGTCACTCCTGACGCCAGTGACCAGCACGTGCCTGGGGGCCGCTTGGAGCTGGGCAGCTGCCTCCTGTCTCACGCTCGCTGTGGCTCAGTGACCCTGTCCGGGACTTTTCTGTTTCCTTCTGCTGCCGCCCCGCCGTGGACTGCAAGTTTCGCATCAGCCTAGACTCGCCCGTTTCCCTGGACGGGCTGTAATCCGTTTCTTTGGGGCCGTCATATCCATCGGGACGATAGTCAGAGTCATCCCAGTTAGGAGGGGCTCCCCCGGTGGGGACGTCGAGGGCCGCCTCTGCGTGCACAGGACGGGGTGGGGCTCTTCCGTGGAGGAGGCCCTGCGCAGAGCTCTGACGTAGGCCGTGCGCTGCGGCGCCTGACGCGCAGAGGCCGGAAACGCCAGCCCGCGCCCCTTCCCCGCAGCCCTCCCCACTCGGCGCGCGGAGCACCCGCCTCTTCTCAGGTTCTGGAGTCCGCGGGGCGGCAGCCGCTTCTGACGTGGACCCCAGCCCCTGTTTCAGCCCGCGCTTGCTCCTGCTTCTGGAAGGCCTGCGCAGCCAGCCCAGGAAGGACGGGCTGGGGGTCGGGAGGGGCTGAGCAGGACTCCCAGGTCTCAGCCTGAGCTTCCCCTTCTTGAGACCCGGCATTCTCATCCATCGCTGCCCCAGAACACTGTCACCTCTTCCTGGATTCTCTTTGTCCCAAGAGACTTCTCTCTCAAAATGATCTGCCTACTGTTAGCGGCGTTTCAGGAGGGCCGACTTCTGTCAGCCCCTGGAGCATAAGGAGAGCCTGTGCGGGGAACGGGGGTGCCGTCTGGGAGCAGCTCCTCGGGGTGAGCCCTGGACATCCGCTGTCTCCACGCACCACCCACCAACCCTGACCACCTTCCCGCCCCTTCCAGGTCCCTGACGAGCACTTCCCCGCCCTGCTGGCCTACCTGGAGGGACTCAGGGGCCGCGCCCGCGAGCTGACAGTGCAGAAGGCGGAGGCGCTAATGCGGGAGCTGGACCAGGCGGGCGCCTGCGCCCTGCCGCCTGGGGGGACCCAGCGCGCCCGGCAGGTGCTGCAGCTGCTCTCCTAACAGGCAGCTCGGGGGCGCCTGGGCCCCGTGGACCCCAGCAAGGGCAAGGGCCCTGGGTCTTCTGGGTCCTGCACCCGGAGGGCCTGCCTCTCTCTCCTGACTCCTCGACCAGGAACTCTTCAGAGGGGATGACGAGTTACCCCCTCCACGGTAGAATGCGGTCACTCTGAAATGACCTAGCCTCCCGGTGGCGCGCAGGCTCCCACAGAAGCTTCTTATTGTGGGAAACATCTTGTCTTTCTACCAGGACTATGCTAGAGGTCAGAGCTGGCCTTTCCTGCCGACTGCAGCCCATCCGCATGGGGGCATGGCCCCCTCCTCCAGCGGATGGTCCCTCCCATGCGTCTTCGAGGCCACCTGCCTGCCTTCGCTGATGGCCGGGCTGAGGTTCATCCATCGTGCCTCCCCCTGGCTGTATTTTCAATAAAAAACAGGCCCCTGGGGGCCGAGGTTCGTCACATGACTCATCTTCTTCCCAGAGGCCCTGAGTGTGGGCTCCGTGGCCTCCCTGGGGTGGAGCTTCTGACTGCGGGGCTGACGACTGCGCTGCTGCCTGCATTTCCAGGCGCCAGCAGGGACCGAGCACTGCCCCCCTGCAGGTAGCACCTGCCCAGCCCTGGGTCCCCAACGGAGCGCCCGCGTCCAGCACCCGGAGGCCGTGTTCGGAGAGTGGCCCGGCCACCTCGGACGGTCGGATGGGTGGGGGGATGTTTCCGTCGACCCGGCCTGGTGCGCTGCCCTCGGGCGTGGTCGGCGTCCAGCGCTTGCGGACATGCTGGGGCCGGAGCTGACAGGACACCAGGTGCAGCGCTCTGCATCCTGGGAGCCAGGCCCCCGAGATGGGCCACGGGGATGGAGGTCATGGGGGTAGCGCCCACCTGTCCCCACAAAGACACACACCTACTAGAGCCTCCGCCCAGAAACGGGGTTCCCCAACTCTGCCACGCAAGGACACCCCCCGGGGTCACCGTGGTTCCCAGTCACGGCCGGGGCCTCTGCCCAGCCCACCCCGCAACCCCTGCAGGATGAAGCTCTGTCCTTCCGCTGTGCCCGGGGCGAGGCGTGTTCTCTCAGCCCTGAATCCAACGCCCAGGTGTTCCAGACCGACAGGAAGAGGGCACAGGACTGCCCTCGGGGTCCAGTGGTGAAGAATCCACCTCGTACTGCAGTGGACGAGGCTTCGATCCCTGGACAGGGAAACTAAGATCCCACCTGCCTCGCAGCTTTAAGCCCTTGAGCTCTGGAGCCTGCGGACCACAAGTAGAGTCAATGCACCGTAACAAAGTTTCCTCCTGACAGGACGGAGGCCCCACAAGCCGCAACTGAAGCGGCCTTGGAAGTCACTGACTTCGCTGAGATATTCCGAAAAAAGGATAATTGCCAACTTCAAGCTTCAGCTCCGGACGCCATGAGCCGGGGGCCACAGCACAGCCTGACGGGCATGGCTGTCAGCTGCCCGCTGCACCACGCTGTCCCCCGGGACCTGGCCATCGCTCAGGGTGCAGGTATGGGAGGCCACGGGACATTCTGTCTCCCTGGAGCCCCTGACCCTCCAGCCTCAGGCCTGCTGGCGCCCCCTGGAGGGACTCGGCCAGGCTACTTTTGGGGGAAAGTCCAGTGTTCCAGCCTGACTGAGGCTCTGCCAGCCTGAGGGGAGGTGGGGTGACTAGGATCAGGACCGAAGCCAGCAGCCTCCGCCCCCCGCCCATGGCCTCAGGTCCTGGAGAGATGGGGCTGGAGTACACGTGAGCCTCGTGCCACCAGACACACATACCCCGCCCCACACCGACACGCATGCCCGAGCGAGTTGGAGTTAAAACTGGTCGTGGTGCCTACAGATTAGGAACACTTTTAGTTAGTAGCTCAGTTGGTAAGGAATCTGCCTGCAATGCAGGAGACCCGGGGTTTATCCCTGGGTCGGGAAGATCCCCTGGTGAAGGGGACGGCTACCTACTCCAGTATTCTTGCCTGGAGAATTCCACGGACAGTGGATGTGGCGGGCTACAGTCCGTGAGATCGCACAGAGTTGGACACCACTGTGCGACTAACTTCTTTTGTTTTTAAGTTCTGAGGAAAAATGAAATGCATGCCGCCATGGGGTTTGGAAATCCGTGCCCGTCTTCACGATTCCTGACCCTGCAGGAATTTCTGAGGGCCTGGGGGGAGCCAAGCGCCATATCCGAGAGGAAACGCCCAGGGCCACCCCCACCGGTGAGCGGGTGCGCCTGTTACTGACGGGATGGAGGGCAGGTGGGGCCCCTGCCCTCAGCTCCCCTGGTTCTCTGCTCCAGGAAGGCCCTACGGCCCCAGCTGTGAACCCATGCCTCCCTTGTTCCAGTCGGTTCTGTTGGCGAGCTCCAGGAGGGCGGAAGCTACGCCTTGTTTGCCCGTGTCCCACTGGCAGAGGTGGTGTTGGGCAGGAAGGGCTGTGATCTCAGCTGACCTACACGTCCTGGCCCGCTCCCCACCCACCGCCAGCTGCCCCGAGGTGCGTGGCCTCCACCGAGGGACCAGGAGCTGGCTCGTGGGGAGGGTCTGGGAGATTGTGGGGCAAGAGCTTGGAGGAGGCCTCCCTGCAGACTCCTACGACCCGCCTCACCCCAGCCTGGCTGACCCGCTCTGGGCAGCCGTTCTCCTTCAACTGGCCCACCGCCCACAGGGCACCCAGGAGCCGTAGGAACAGGGTGGGGTCTGCAGGGGACCCTGCGGGCCCAGGGCCTGGCACAATGCAGAGCAAGCCGGGAATGCTGGTCCGAGGTTGGCCTCTGGGTGGATGTCGCCTTGGGGCCCAGCAGCCCCGGCTATCTCCCTGCACCCCAAGTTCAGGTGGGTGACACCCCTGTGCCTGGCACGTGTTGGCTGGTGACGCGGGCCCTGCTGGGGAACCGGATGAGGGCCAGTGGGGAGGGGAACGTGGGAACAGGGACAGCAGGAAGCCTGAGGGCCCTGTGGGAATGTGGGGGTGCGGCACCTGCTGGGGGGACCCCGGAGGACGGGCAGGGGCCCCGGTGTACACAGAGGCATCAGCAACACTCCAGGGTCTGGGGGTGGAGCGGGGACAACACCCAGCTCTGCCCTGGGCTGTGGGGCCTGGGAGGGGGAGAGGAGGGCCAAGCTGGGAGGGGCCTTCCAGCTGGGGAGCACCCCATCTCCCACGGTGCCCAGATGAGGCTCCCTGGCCCGGGACACACAGCCCGTGGTGGTCGCAGCAGAGAACCAGGTGAGGGGCTGCATGTCTGTGTCCGACTGTCCTGTCTCCATCACCCACAACCCAGAGCAACTCAGCTTCCCCCCATCCCAACCCCGGGGCCCTCGGCCAGCCAGGCCTCGCAGTCAGCGCCCCTGCAGCCTGGGCACTGCGCACAGCACCTGGGCAGACGGCCGCGCGGTGAAGGCAGGGGCGGGTGTGGTGTCCAGGGCCGCGGCGCTGAGGCCCGGCGGGGGCAGCAGGCGGTACCTCTGCAGGAGGCCCGCAAACAGCAGGAATAGCTCCGACCTGGCCAGGCTCTCCCCCACGCAGACGCGGCGGCCTGCGGGTACAGGGGGCGCCGGTGGGTCCCGGAGGCTTGGGGGAAGCTCCGACGGCGGGGCCCTGAGCTCGGAGGCCCTGGGGACCAGGCCATGGCCGGCGGGGGCTGCAGTACCTGCGGAGAAAGGCAGGAAGGCCGGCCGCTTGACGAAGCGCCCGTCGACGTCCAGGAAGTGGCCGGGGTTGAACTGGCGGGGCGTCTCCCACTGCGTCTCGTCCAGGAGCACGGAGTTCAGCAGGGCCAGCACGGGTGTGCCCTGCGGGGGCGCCAGGTGAGCAGCCGGCCGCTCTCCGCAGACGGGGAGCACGGGAAGCCCTGCTCAGCATCTGTGTCCCCGAGACGCCGTCCCAGCCCCATCTACCGCGGCCGAGAGGAGAGGGGGGAGGGTCTGGGGCGCCGGGGACCTGCCTCGCACCTTGGGGAGCAGGTAGGGGCCCAGCTGGGTGTCAGCGACCGTGCACCGCGGCGCGTGGGGCAGCAGCGTGATGAAGCGCTGCACTTCGTGGAGCACGGCGTTGGTGTAAGGTAGGGCGTGCACGTCCTCGGGCCGCGGGAGCCGGGCTGGCCCCAGCACGCGGTCCAGCTCCTCGTGTATAAGGCCTGCCGGCGAGGCAGAGGCCCAGCATGCTGGGACCCCGCCCTGCGCCCCAGGCCCCGCCCCCTGAGACCCCGGCCCCACCCCTGCGCCCTGGGCTCCGCCCCCTGAGACCTCAGCCTGGCAGCCTGCGATCCGGGCCCCGCCCTGCATCCCGGGCCCCGCCCCCTTCGACCTTGGCTCCGCCCTGCGCCCAGGGCCCCGCGGAGACGCGCCCCAGGCTCACTCTGCACGCGCTGGTGCTTGCCCATCAGAAGGGCGGCCCACTGCAGCGTGGCGGCGGTGGTCTCCGTCCCGGCCATGACCATGTCCAGGACACAGGCCACCACGTTGGCCTCAGTAAACAGGCCCTCGGGGTCTTTCCCCTGCAGAGGTGGGCGGGGCCGCGCTTAGCCGGAGGCAGGCTCCGTGAAACCCCCACGCAGACAGCCCCGGCCTCGAGAAAGGCGTCGAAGACAGGCGCCTCCTAAGTCAAGGGCTCACGCGGCCTCGCAGACGCCCCTCGTCTCAGGTGAGGTGACCGAGGCTCGGAGGCGCCCGGCCAGGGAGTGGAACGGCATGGCGCAGGGTCGGCCAGCTCCCTCCCCAGCTCTCTCCCCCAGGCGGGGCCCCAAGATTCCCCCCTCCCGCGGCCTCTTCGGCGGGGGCAGGTCTCGCCCACACCTGACCCTGCTGGATCAGGGCGTCCAGGTAGCTCCGCTCGGGCCCTCGCGGGGGTGTGCGGCGCCTCCGCGCCTCCAGGAGGGCCCTCAGGATGGCCCGCACCTCCTCGATCTTGCGCAGAACCGGCCGGTGCAGCTGGAGAAGGGCCCCGAGCCGCGGGTAGAGGTTGAAGAGCTGGGGGCGGGCAGGGCCGCGCTGTGAGGGCTAAGCGCGGGCCTCCGCCCGCAGGTGGGGCCAACTGTGCGGACCCGCAGCGCCCCAGGCTCCCGGCAGAGGTGCCACCCTCCCTCTCCCTCCCCGTGGGACGGCAGCCCCGGGGGCGCGGAGGAAAGCCTCCACCTGGGTGCGCGGAGGAGGGGCCAACCGACAGGTTACACAGCCGGGGTCCGTGCAAGTCACAGCAGGCGGCTGTAACCGGCCCCGCTCCACACCCACCAGAGCAGGTGAGAGGGAGGCGGGGCAGGACCCGCCTTGGAAGTCACTGACTTCGCTGAGATATTCCGAAAAAAGGATAATTGCCAACTTCAAGCTTCAGCTCCGGACGCCATGAGCCGGGGGCCACAGCACAGCCTGACGGGCATGGCTGTCAGCTGCCCCCTGCACCACGCTGTCCCCCGGGACCTGGCCATCGCTCAGGGTGCAGGTATGGGAGGCCACGGGACATTCTGTCTCCCTGGAGCCCCTGACCCTCCAGCCTCAGGCCTGCTGGCGCCCCCTGGAGGGACTCGGCCAGGCTACTTTTGGGGGAAAGTCCAGTGTTCCAGCCTGACTGAGGCTCTGCCAGCCTGAGGGGAGGTGGGGTGACTAGGATCAGGACCGAAGCCAGCAGCCTCCGCCCCCCGCCCATGGCCTCAGGTCCTGGAGAGATGGGGCTGGAGTACACGTGAGCCTCGTGCCACCAGACACACATACCCCGCCCCACACCGACACGCATGCCCGAGCGAGTTGGAGTTAAAACTGGTCGTGGTGCCTACAGATTAGGAACACTTTTAGTTAGTAGCTCAGTTGGTAAGGAATCTGCCTGCAATGCAGGAGACCCGGGGTTTATCCCTGGGTCGGGAAGATCCCCTGGAGAAGGGGACGGCTACCTACTCCAGTATTCTTGCCTGGAGAATTCCACGGACAGTGGATGTGGCGGGCTACAGTCCGTGAGATCGCACAGAGTTGGACACCACTGTGCGACTAACTTCTTTTGTTTTTAAGTTCTGAGGAAAAATGAAATGCATGCCGCCATGGGGTTTGGAAATCCGTGCCCGTCTTCACGATTCCTGACCCTGCAGGAATTTCTGAGGGCCTGGGGGGAGCCAAGCGCCATATCCGAGAGGAAACGCCCAGGGCCACCCCCACCGGTGAGCGGGTGCGCCTGTTACTGACGGGATGGAGGGCAGGTGGGGCCCCTGCCCTCAGCTCCCCTGGTTCTCTAGGAGCACAGGGCACTGGCCTGGGGTCACGTGGCTGGTGAAGTCAGGAGCCTCTCCCTGCCCCCACCTCGCTCTCTGACTCCCCCCCAGCCCCCAGGCCAAGAACAGCGACCTCTACCTGCACACTTGGCTTCCCCAGGAGGACCATGACCTCGTCAACGAGGCCCAGCAGGGACACGAACACAGGATCCCGGTAGTCGAACCGCTGGCCGAAGAGGAGCGCGAAGGTGATGTTGGAGGGAGCCCAGCGGAGTAGGGCCAGCGGGAAGGGCTGGCCTGTGGGGGGAGAGAGGCTTCAGGGCTGTGGGCTGTGCAGGGCAGAGGCGCCCTGGCCCCCACTCACCTCCGTAGCTGTCCAGCTGCGCCATGATGCACCTCAGCTCCTGCAAGACCTTGTTGGCCACGGGCGCCCTCCCCACGCCCAGGCCATGGAGGGTGCGCACGGTGAGCTGGCGGGCGGCCCGCCAGCGTGGACCTGAGGAGAAGAAGACGCCTGCGGGCCGCACACGCCCAGTGGTGAGCGGCCCTGGGGCAGGATCCCGACGGAGCCTCAGGGCCCCCAAGCCCCCAGCGCCCCCTCCAGCTGGCGTGGTGGGCCCAGTCCTGGTGTGCCCCACCCCCGTTGCTCTGGGCCTGCCATGCGGGCACCCTGGTGCTCCCCCTGGGCCTCATGGGAGCACTCACCATGCCTCGGCCCCTGCTGCACCCCGCCCCCCCCACACACCTACCCCCGCCCCCGTTGATGAGCTGGAAGATGGCAATTGGGGGCCGGCCAGCCAGCTCCTGCCCGGCGCCCACCAGGGCCTTCTTCACCGCCTCGTAGCCGGTCAGCACCACCGTCTTCTGGTGCCCAAGGTGCACAGTGAACACTGGCCCGTACTGTTTGGCGAGCTGGTGGGAATGGGCAGGGCTCATCCTCTGCCCCACCCGGGTCCCTGGGGGGCCCTCACGGCCCACCAGCCACTTCTATCCTTACCGCTCCCCTGCCCATTCTGCAGATGAGCAGACTGAGGCCTGGGGGTGGGCAGTGAATTGCTGTGGATCACACAGTGGAGCAGGGCCGGCCACTGCTGTTTGCCGGCAGCTCTGCCCCCAGCACACGGATGGTGGCCTCCAGGGCCCGGCTCTGGGCATAGGCCTGAGAGCCCTGGTACCTGCCACCTGGCGGGGTGGCTGCCCCAGCTCAGGGCGCTCCAGGGTTCCCCGAGGGACTGGGGCTCCCGCACCCCCCCTCCCCCACAGGGCCACCAGGCAGCCTCCTGGGCAGTCCCTGCTGCACCACTGCGCGTGATCAAGGCGGGAGCTGAGCGGGCATCAGCTGCCCAGCCTTGGGGATGGGCCAGGCCTTCAGCCCCGGGTCAGCTCACTGAGCGCAGTGAGGGGTCCAGCCTCAGCCCAGCTCAGGCAGCCACTTCCTGCAGAGTCCCCCGCCTCCAGGCACCTCTGTGTGCTGGTCCTGCTCATTTGTTTCCAGACCACGGCTGCGGGTGCCGCTCCCAGGAGCACCCACCTTCTTCCCTCTGCCACCCCAACCTGGGCCTCCCGTGGGCATTCATCAACTGCTGCCTCCTCCAGGGAGCCCTCCTGGCCCCTTGCACTGCCCATCCTCTTCCTTCTGGGGTGGACCGTGCTTCTCTTCTCAGAGGCAAGGTGGGCCCGTGGGCCTCCTGTTCCATGTCAGGCCAGTGCCAGGTTGGACACAAACCTCCCACTCCATGGGGGTCCTGGAAACTGGGGGCTCAGCTTTCCCCCAGATGGGGTAGGCGGGGGCCCAGGGCGCCCACAGGCCCACGTGGACCCACCTGCATCAGCGCCTGGTCCTGCTGTGCCGCCCACAGCAAGTGCAGGTTCCCGATGAGGGGCAGGGGGCGCGGCCCCGGGGGCCATCGGGAGGCTGGGGTGCGGGCGCAGAGCAGCCCCCAGAGCGTCAGCAGTGCCAGCAGTGCCAGGAGCAGCAGGGCCATGAGTCTGGCGGGTGGCGGCCAGCTCCCCTCCCGGGTGCTGCCTGCCCTGCGCCTTATGGGCCTCCTGGGAGGGCGTGCCGGCACCCCACCCTCCCGCCACCCCACCACCCCGAGAATGTGGAAGGAGCAGTTTGCAGGGACAGCCAGGCACTTAAAGCGACAGGCGTGCCTGGAATGTGGGGGCCAGTCTGTGCCAGGGGTCGGGGAACCATCTGGGGAGCAGACGTCCAGTTGGGCCCTTGGGGCCTCCTCAGCCCTTGCCTTGTTGGGGGGACACAGCGCGGTGACCATCTGCCCCCTGCACCATCTGCCTCTGCCCCGTCTCCCCACCAGAACCAGGGCTCCAGGGCCTTGGGCCCCATCCTCCCTAGGCTCTGAGCCTCCCTACCTGGGAACCCCGCAGCCCCCCAAGCCCACCACCACCTGTGTCCACCCAGCACCTCTGCCTGGGCCAGGGCGGGCACCAGGTCTACATGGCAAGCGCCTCAAATGCCAGGGCTCCAGAGCCCAACAGCGAGCTTGCCAGAGTGACGGAGTGCCCCTTGGGGGCTGTGGGAGCCCGGTCCCCCAGGCAGACGGCACTGGCCTTCCCAGGACAGGGTGGGCATGGGGGCGGGTCGGCTACGCAGAGGGGACCAGCCTGCAGGCCAGGCCGCTGGGGCGGCAAGTGGCGGGTTTATGAGCCCTATCTGTCTGGGCTGCACTCTGCTCCAAAGCTTGGAGGCCCAACTGGGAGGAAGGAGGTGCCCCTTTGGAATCGAGCTCCGAGTGGCCAGAGGGCCGGTGGCCCCAGAAGCGGCTGGGCCTGCGCTGGGCCTCCTGCCCACCACTGGGCCCCTCATCCCGGGCCTGTCCCCTGTGGTGACATCTGTGCCCCTACACCAACCCCAGAGCCAAGGCAGCCTGTGGGCCCTTACCCCTCCCAGCCTCCATTTGCACACCTCCTGTGATGGGGTGCTCACTGCCTCACAGGCAGCCCGTCCAGATACACAGTCCTGGGGCTGCCAGGAGCGGGAACTCATCTCTAAATGCTGAGTCTGGGCCTTTTGGGCTGAGCAGTGGTTCCCAAGGTCCCTACTGGGTGCAGAGGCTGGGGGCCTGTCTGCCCAGGACAGTTCAGGCAATTAATTCAGCGTGCGTGTATTGAGTTCCTGTGTATTACCAGGCTCTCTAGGAGCTAGGGCTATAGGAATGGGTGCTACAGGGATCCTGAAGTGCCCTCGCAGCCCAGCGGGGGCAGGTGGGGGGGTGTGTGGCTATGACTTTGCACAGAAAACCGCTCGGGTGTTGGAGCTGGAGGGTGGGTCTCAGGAGGAAGGGCGTTCGTGAGGAGGGAACAGCTTGTGCAGAGCCTGCAGGGGTGGCACGGAGCGGGGGCACTGGGCAGCCCTGGGTCACGGCCATGGAGCCACACTGGGGGCCAAGCCCCTTGGGATGGCAGTGTGGCTGTGGGGCTGGAGGGGAGCACGCATCCCTGTCAGGGGCTCCGCTCTGGGGCCTGCTGGGCGGGGGCCAGGTCTTGGTGCTGCCGCTGTGCTTGGGGAGCAGACGTGGCCCCCGCAGCAGGACTGAGCTGCAGGGAGCCCGTCTCAAGACCCTTCCTGACGGGACCGCCCCTGGTGTCTGTCCTGGGGCCTCCAGCTGCTGACAGCCTGTCAGGGTGGCTGGGTTTCCCGGGGAGGGAGTGGGCTCAGCTCGGTGGCGCGGTGGCCCGCGCCCCAGGGCTGCATGTGGTGGGCCCTGCAGCATCCACTCTGAGTGACCCACTGCTCTGCCTGTGTCCCATCCAGTGAGGGGGGCACCACGGGGAGGGTCCTGGGAAGACCCAAACTGGCTGGAGCAGGGCGCTGGGTCTAAGGACGTTCCCCCGACATTCACGTCCACCCAGAGCCTCAGAACGGGGGCCTCTTTGGAGTGTGGCTCTCTAACCAAGTCACCTTGCCCCTCATTCGATAACAGAGGCAAGGGTGGGGGCCACGGCCACAGGCCAAGGACCCGGGAACCACGGAAGCTGGCGGGGCCAGGAAGGACCCCCCTGGAGCCATCTTCAGGAGGAGCCCTGCCTTCCGGCCTCCGGAGCAGAGCGGGTGGTGGTGGTGTTTTCCGCTCCCCCAGGCTATGTCCCTTGTTGGGGCAGCCCCAGGAGGCCTTGGGAGCAGGGTTCAGAAAATCACCCCACTCCAGAAACACGGCAGACGGGTCACATGGGTCCCTTCATGGGGTTGCTGCCTAACCGCCTGCCTGGGCGTCGCTTCGTCCCCCGGGGAATGGGGGTTCACTCTACTTGACTTGTCTATGATCGACTGGGCCCAGAGGCCACCAAGCCGGCCAAGAACAGGACAAATGCAGGGGATCCCCCGTAAACACACAGAGGAGGAGGTCACCCAGAGGCTTGGCTCTGCTGTCCGCTCAGGCATTAACCGGTCCTGAGCCTGCTTGGTGGGCTCATCCAGTGCTCTCTCTCCTCTGACTGGGTGTGATTGTCGGCTTTTGCACATTTCTCTTTGAAGCAGCCTTGCCGTCTCGCCCTCTTCCCTTGTTAACGGGCAAGATAAAGCTTGGCCGCGTGCTCAGTATCTGTTAGTCTGAGAGCCTTTTGAAAATTACTCTTTGACAGCAGAATTTATTAACATCAAAAGATCAGCAAGATCTAGTTTCAGGCCAGGGTCGATTCAGCGGCCCAGTGACATCATCAGGTTTCCGATGAATTCTCCTCTCTCTTGGGTCTGCTGGTGGCACTCGGCTGGGGTGGGGAGTGGGGGTAGTGGGGCAAGCAGTGTTTCCGTGTCTGCTCCTGGTGGCCAGACGACCACCCGCACCCAGGCTCACCTCCTCCCAGCGCGGTCCAGTGGGCAGTTGTACCAGCCCCGAATTGGTGTTTGAGCAGAAGCCTGGGAACTGTGTGGTCAGAACTGAGTGGCCAGGGTCACCTGGGGCTCAGGTCACACCTGGCCTTGATGCCCCAGGTGCAGGTTGTTGCCTAGAGGGCTCTGGGGTTGCACCTGACTCCACACTCGGCCCCTCTATCTATTCCTAAGGCTGAGACGGCATCTTCCAATGACAGCTCCCAGCCCTCAAGCTCTCCATCTACTTGGCCCTCAGCCATGGAGAGCTGGGGACTGTGCCCTTGACCCTGGGTGGGGGCCAGTGACCACGGTGGAGGCAATGTTCTGAGACTTTGGAGGTGGACCGGGAAAGCCATGTGGCTTCCACCTGCTGCTTCTGGGATCCTGTGTGCAGGACGCCGTCAGCATCCTGGGAGCAAGCCCTGGGAGGTGGGAGGAGGGCCAGGGGGACAGGAGCCGCGGCCCCCAGGAACCAGGCCCAGCACCCAGCCACACGTGCTCAGACCTGAAGGGCTTCCCTATTCTGAGGTGTGGCGGCCCCGGCTGATGGCCCATGGGGCCGTCTCCACGTGGCCTGCCCACTCCCCGCGTTGAGGAGCGCAGCGGATCGCTGCTGTTTCCCACCCGTGAGTCGGGGCTGTTTGTTACAGTGGTGGAAAACTCATACACTGGCTGTGTAACGCTGGGCAAGGGGCTTGACCTCTGTGTGTCCTATGTCTGACATGAAGACAGGAATGCCTGAAAACTGTTGTCTTCAAACATCATTTTTAACTTAATCTCACAGTTTCTTTATTTTCGGCTGCGCTAAGTCTATGTTCCTTTGCACGGGCTTCCTCGGGTTGTGATGAGCGGGCTAACTCTTTGTTGCAGTGCTCAAGTTTCTCACTTCAGGGGCTTCCAGTGGTCCGTGGGCTGTAGTCGCGCTGGCTTCAGCAGTTGTTCTCAGGCTCTAGAGCATGGGCTTAGGTGCCCCAAGGCCTATGGAACCTTTCCTGACGGGGTCGAACCCCTGTCCCCTGCATTGGCAGACGGGTTGTTAACCACTGGACCACCAAAGAAGTCTCCCCAAACATGTTTAATTTTTAATTAACTAATTAATTAAATTTTTGGCTATGCTGCATGGCCTAAGGGATCTTAGTTCCTCAAGCAGGAATCAAAGTCAGGCCCCAGGCTGTGAAAGCATCAAATCCTAACTACTGGACTGCCAGGGAATTCCCCCTTCAAAAGACACTAACTGAACACCTACTGTGTGCCAGCACTGTGAGCCCACGTAAAACAGCCCCGCAGTAGAGGGTTTCCAAAAGCATTATTCCTTGCTTTTCAACCTAAAGACTTAATGAACTGCTCAACATCTCCTATGAAGCAATAATCGGTTACTTGGCAGGCTAACACCTCCTGGTCACTGGGCCTTGAGGGGTCATGGGTCCCCCAGGGCTGCCCCACGGAGAGGGAGAGGTATGGGGCAGCCTGGGTGGGGAGGAACTGTCCCTTCCTCTGCTAAGTGGTGTGATCAATTTGCAGGGAAAGGTGCTATTTGCTAGGTAATAAACGCTCCTATTGTTCACAGCCCTGGAGCATTAATAAGTAACCCAGTGCGGGGCCCCTGGCTCCTGCAGTGTCAACAGTTAATATGACAGGAACGGGGAACAGGTACAAGCTTCCTCTTGTAGTTTTCTGTGGGCCCAGAGCCCCAGGCCAACCCCGGCCCAGACAGGGCTGGGCTTACCCGCTGCTCTGGGCCCACCCTCTGGGCCTCTCCTGTCGGCCCGCTGACTTTGGTGGAACTCTGGGCGGCTCTGGACAAACAGGGTGGAATCCCACCTCAGGCCCGGAGGTGGAGTGGTGTGCACCATGGGGGTCCTTGCAAGTGGGTGAGGGCATGCTGGATGCCTTCTGGAGAAGGGGGCATCCAACCTAGGCTCTATGGGGAGGGGGTGCTGCTGGGACTGGTGGGCAAGCCCCCGATGTTACAGGGGGCAGTGGTGCTGGGCATGGGGGAAGACCGCTTGTCCAGGGGGGTCAGCTGGTGACTCTGCGGTGCTGAGGCCCCCATGGGTTTATGTCTAGGGCCTGGCACATGGCTGGCGCCAGGAACCGCTACGTGGGTGGAGTGGATGCGTGAATAGTGGTTGGAGCTCAGGGAAGAATCAGACAGCAGGGTGGTGGGCAGGCGCCCATCCACCTCCATCAGCTCTGCCCAGGGTACAAGGTTGGGAGGAGCCCTGCTGCAGAGAGCTAGTGACCCCCCCCCCAGCCTTTTCCCTATTTTTACTGTTGCTTTAACGACAATAATAAATAACCACCAGGGACTTTCCTGTTTATAATGCATTTTCACTCTTTTATCTGTTGAATTGTGTCCCCAGATTCACATGTTGAAGTCCTAGCTCCCCTACCTCAGAATGTGACCTTTCTGGGAACAGGGTCACTGTATATGTAATTAGCTGAGGTGAGGTCATGGGGGTGGGTCCTAACCCAATAAGGGTACATCCTCCTGGAAGGACGATGTGTGAACACAGACACACAGGGAGAGGCCACGTGGTGAGGCAGACGGGGTGATGCGTCCACAAGCCAGGGGACACCAAGAGCTGCCGGCAATCCACGAGCAGGGAGCCAACACCCGGCTCTCGGATAACTGGCCCCCAGAACTGTGAGAGAAGGAATTTCTGTTGCTCTAAGATGCCCAGGCCCCTGCAGCCTTGCGGGGATGCAGAGAGACCCTCCTCACCCTTGCCAGGGACAGCCTTCCAGGAGCGTCCTTCTGCCCTTGGGCTTCTTATGGATTGAAGCTGTGTGTCCTTGGGCAAGTTGCTGACCCTCTCTAAACTTCGTTTCCTCGCCCTAAATGACGGCTGGACCCTCTGCCATTGTGTTGCCTCAAGGATAATAAGAACCCCCACCTGCAGAACAAGTGACTGAGGGTCCCGGCCTTTCGGAGCCCGGGGGCGGGGCCTGGGCACGAGGGGCGGGGTCTCGGTGCTGGGGGCGGGCCCTGTACCTCCAAGTCCAGGCCCATCAGGGGCGGCTCGCCGCTCGACGTGCTCGGCGCTCCCGTGGGGCCTGCTCCGCGATCGGCCGGCCGTCCTGCGTACGGCGCGCGTCGCCTTGGGAGAGTCTGGGTACCGCCATCATGTCGACGGCTATGAACTTCGGGTCCAAGAGCTTCCAGCCGCGTCCCCCGGACAAGGGTAGCTTCCCTCTCGATCACTTCGGTGAGTACGGGCGGTCCGGACTCCCCGGCCCGGCCCGTCCAGCGCTGGGCCGGCCCGGCGGTGCCTCGCGGCGCGGGCGGGGCCTCTGAGGCTCGGTACGTCCCGGCTCGGTCCCGGCTCGGTCCGGAGCCTCCCACCGCCGCCCGGGGTAGGAGCGGGACGGCGCTGGGCCTTGGGGCCAGCGAGGGGACACGGAGGCCGGCCTGCGGTCGGGGGCCGACGTTCCGGCAGCCGCATCCTTGGCGGGTGTGAGGCCCGCGCGCGGGGTTCCGCGGGTGTCTGGTGCGGAAGCGGAGGGCGCTCCTGGTCGCCGCAGCTCCGCGGAAGCTAAGGCTTCGAAAATGGGTTTCGGATGGTTCTTTATTTGCCAGTCTTTTATCGAGAGATATTCCAGACCAAGGGCAACGTCGGCAGGGAACTCCCGGCGCCGCCGCTTGGACGCCCCCCTTTTCCTGCTCTCTGTTCCACCCAAAACCTTTGTCTTTTCTCGTGTGTTTCCAGAGTGTTTCTGAAGTAAACTAGTTTCCAGAGGAGAAGAAGGAGGGCTGCCAGTAAGGTTGCTGGGCGGGCATGTCCTGTTTTCACTTTAAAAAGAAAACATTTTTCTGTTTTGTTCCAGGTGAATGTAAAAGCTTTAAAGAGAAGTTCATGAAGTGTCTCCGGGACAATAATTTTGAAAATACTTTGTGCAGAAATGAATCAAAAGAATATCTAGAGTGCAGGATGGAGAGGCAAGTACCTGCCAACCATGATTTATGTCTTCTCCGCCCACCATGTCTCCAGCTGAAATGTTTGTCCCAAGAGGCCCCACCCAGGCCTGGCTTCTTGTGTTTGGCCCCAAAGGGCTGCCTGCCTGTGAAATTGAGGCATTTCGGAGATGAGTTGTACTCAAAGTTGGCAGCTGTGGGAACCTTTTCTCCAGTGATAGACTTGGAGGTGATTGCATTCCTCTGAGTTTTTTCTTTCTAAATGTGTTGTGTCATTCAGGTTTCAGAATCGTACATCATAAAAATGCTGACTGAGTCAAAAGATTTGTGGGTACAGAGCTTATTCCTTTAAACGTTCTCAGAACATAAAAATATACGTGCTGTTTTGTTTGACATCCACTCAAGAGCTGTTTGTAGTGTGACAGGCAAGACAGTGGGCCCGAGAAACAGTGAAAAATGAGTGCCTCTTCCCATCTCAACCAGAGTTCACAAGACCTACCTTTAGACAAAACAAAAACGCTTCTAACTGATCCGTTGAGATTTTACTTCAGAAGTACCACTGTAAAGCTTCATGGGGAAAGCATGTAACCTATTATTATGTGCTTGGGTGGAAACTTTTATTTATGTCCTTTGAGCTCTTTTTTTGTTCACCAGGGAACCCAGTCTGGCAGAGGCCTTGTCTGAAGACAGGTTGACAAAAAGCAATCCATTCTGGGCCTGTTTTCAATTTTTCCTTAACAAACTCAGACGTTCCCCTCCAGGCAAGCTCCGCTGTGCTTCTTGGACCCCAGGTGTGTTGAGGGCTCTCTGCAGACATTTGGGATTTTGAGGGAGATGGGCCTTCTTGGTGCCTGGCCCTCAGGGGGCCCCCTTCTCCCCTCGTGAGTCATGCAGGCTCACAGGTGTTATAGGGTTAATGATGGGCTGCCTGACACCAGCTCTGTCATCTCTGCGTAGTGTGCATGCTTCACTCACTCTCAAATCAAAACAGCTGAACTCACTGAGTCTCTTGGCACTGCCGAGCCTTGGTGACAGAGTTCGGCGCTCGTCTCTGCCCTGCGCCTGCCCAGAGCTCGGCTCACCCCCCTCAAGTCGGTCCTCCCTGGGCTGGTTGCTTTCATCCCAGAGCCACTGCTGCTGTGTGACGAGCGCTTCCCGGCAGGGCCGTCTTTCCCGTTTGCTCCTGGGCCTCTGAGGAAGGCCTGCCGACGGGAACGCGTCAGCTGCTCTGTGGGTTCCACGATTCAGGCGGCGTCACTGGTTGGTCAGGCCGCATTTGGTTGTGAGGGGTGTGTGTGTTTCTGACTTGGTCTGTATCTTGCCCACTTGCTTCTCCGTCACTCTTTTATTTATTTATTTTTCCATCACTCTTATAAAAAGCTTCTTCCCTTCCGCTTTTTTCCTTTTTGCTGATACCCCACCCCCTACTTTCGTGTACTTCACATGCATCTTTTTAAGAACTGGACCTCAGTAGAGTTTGTCAGTTGGCTCACACAGTCTCGGGCCCTGTTGGCCTGGAGTGGATGTGTCTGCTGCCGAGGGCGGGGGCTACGCTTCTTCACAGCAGCTAACATTGGGGTTGCACGGTCAGCAGAGACACAGCGAATACACGTGGGATCCGAGACCTTAAGTCCAGGGCCCGCCCTGGCATGTATGGTGGCCAGGCCTCCTGACCTGGTGCGGAGCGTGTACAGCGTCCGGTCCTGGGAGAGCGCCCGGCCCGACCAGGTGCGGCCCAGGCGCTTCCCTCAGGAGGGTCTGTCCTGACCTGTCCGTTCCCGGGCTTCCTGTCCTTGGCCTGTGGCCCATCCTGCATCCTCACGGTCCACAGTACTGTGTCTTCGGATCCTTCCTCCTCTTTACATTTTTTCTTTCTGACCAGAGGCACCCAAGGTTCTATGATTTTAAGATCCTGGGATTAGGTTGGGTCCCCTTGGATAATCCAAGGTGGCCTCCTCTCTTGAGTTGGCTGATGGTCAGCCTTGTTTCCTCAGCAGCCTTAATACCAACCCCCTTCCGCTGGTATCAGGTCTCACTCACAGATTCCTGGGGCTCAGGGCATCACCTGGGGGCCCAGGCCCTGTCAACCACGTTATGTCTGAGCGGCCGGTTCTAAGAACCGTGTTCTGACAAGGTGTAGTGGGAGTTCATCGTTACTTGCCTCCTTGGATTTTAGGAGCGTCCCGTGCATTCTGTCACTGTGAGGATAGTGTAATCTGTTGCCGGGTAGATTCCACAAACTGGTGTTTGTGATTCTGGGGATGTTGTCCTAAGGGCTGTTGCCAGGCCTCTGGGTTTTGTGGGCATGGCGGGCAGGGGCCTGCCTGCACACGGGAGCATGTGATGAGGAAAGTGGGGAGCACAGCAGGGTGCGGGTCTGAGGGTGCTGTTCCCAGGAGGGGGTGGGGCTGCCCGGTCTGAGCGGCCGCATGGACCCTGACAGTTCTCACTTTTCCTTTCAGGCAGCTGATGGCACAGGAACCCCTGGAAAAGCTGGGCTTTGGAGATCTGATTGATGGAAAATCAGACAAAAACTGAGCTGTGCTGGGAGGAAGCCCGAGGCTGTGTGGGGTCGCTCGGACTCCTCTGCCCCCACAGCGTGCTCATAGGTACCGTGGCTCAGAAGGGGACTGTGGGGGTGCCCGCGAGATGCTGCTTGGGACCACGCCAGACGCCCTCCCTGGGGACGTGCCTTGAGGCCAGGAAACGGCTCCTCTTCTGCAGCTTCTGAAAGGATTTTGGAAAAGTGGTATCCCTTTAGATTCCTGTTTCCCTCAGGCTTGTGAAGGTTTATCCTGAGTTCGTGTGGGTGACAGGGCTCCCGGGGAGGTGAGGTGTCAGGTGCCCACCCAGGGCACCGTGGGCGCCAGTGAGGTGCCGGGTTCACGTCGTCAGCTATGTGTGTCCTTTCTGCGCTGGTAGTGTTCAGCATAAACGTTACATGGAAGTTACGTAGACATTGTCAGGAAAACGTTCTTAGCAAGTGGGTTGCTCTTTGTACTCATAAGCCTATACTCTGTTTCCTTTTCTTTTTTTTTTTTTTTTAAGCAAAAACAGAGGATAAGCCTGGAAGGGGAAACTGGTTTTGACACATCTGACTTCTTGATTTTTTTCTGGTGATGCCTGAACACCATGTGTCTTTCTGATCCGTATCAGGTGACACTTGTACAGTCAGATGTTTAGTTTCAAGAAGTCGCCTGCTGTAACTGAGGAGCAGGTCGTCTGCCCTTGTCAGGCGACGTGCGCAGCGGCCTCTGGTGCTTTTCCTCTGAGGAGCCGCCGAGCCTGCAGCCAGCCCTGCTTCTTGGCCAGGAGGGCTCAGGGCAGCGTGGGCCCGTTGAGTGCTGCCTGAGTGCTATCAGACCCCAGGGCAGTGTTTCATGGGCTCAGAGCCTCAGCGGAGACCCTGCACCTGCCCGTGACTGCCTCCCTGGCCCCAGTCAGCTGACTTTTGTCCCAGTGTGGCCAGTGGGGGGGGGGGGGGGCTGTGCCAGGAAGACCCAGGTGAGTGCCCTGACCCCCTCCTTCCCGGTGGCCCAGGCCGGCTGCAGGGAGCCCTCGCGCCTCCCCAGCCACGTCCCGTTGTCTGTGTGGCGGCCCTCCCCTCGGTCCTGCGGCGGCGCTGTGCTCACTCAGACCTCCCCTCGCTCCCTCCCGGGCCGGCCGTCTGCGGGGCTCTGGCACTGCTGGCCCCGAGGGGTTCCGGCCCCCGGCACTCCGTCTGTGCCTTGTCACTGGACCATCGTCTCTGTCTACGCTTCTAGCTGGTTTATGAAAAGCCTTGCTTTTTATCCCCAAACCGAGCTGTGGAAGTGTCCAGTGTGACGTCGCACATGTACAGGGTTGTCCATTGCAGCAGCGTTTGTAGTCGTAAAGCGTTGGTGCGACCCGGCCACCCGTGCTTGTCCCCGAGGCAGGGCCCAGGCGGCTGCAGGAAGGACTGGGGGAGACCACGGTGTGCCCTGCATGGCCCTGCGTGAGAGGGAACTTGGGGCCCAGAAGGCAGCGTGGTGGGGGAGGGCCGTGGGTAGGGAAGCAGATGTACAGAAGCGTGTGCAGAAGTGTGTGCATGCACTCACCTGTGTTCATGCGGACATCGCTTCGCTCTAGGTCCCGGGGGCCTGGGGTCACTGACCCCTGGCAGCCAGGGGCTTGCCTGGCGGCTGACTCTTTGATTTGAGCCTCTCTCCAGCAGGAAGACCCAGGGCCAGAAAGTCCATTTGACCCTGGACCCTCTTGTGTTAGACAGTAGGGAGTTGCCGAAGCCTTGATGGGCTTGTCAGGAGCGCGCGACAAGGCTCCCAGTGGCCTGGTTGGCAGCAGCAGGAACAACCGTTGGGTTTGGCTGCAGCATCAGTTCTTGCCCGGGAGTACCTGCTGAGGGAGGGTAAATGTTCCAGCGCAGGAAGGGGACAGCCTTCTTCCCGACCCCGGCCTGTGTGGAAGGACGGGGCGTCGGGGCATCGGTGTGTCCGGAGGTGGGTGGGCAGTGTTAGGTGGAGCGGGTTCTGGAGGACACCCCAGGAAGCACTCAGCCATCAGACGAAACCTCTGGGATGTCACCGACGGCAAGGTCCCCATGGCACCCACCCTGATCTGCCCCAAGGAGGCGGCATCACTGCTGTTTTCTCTTGAGTGCATCACCTCCATCTCCGAGGACACACCGATGTGCCCGGCCCGAGGGCCGAGCCTGGCATGAGGATCAGCGGTGCCGTCCCCGAGGACGGGCGAGGGTCTGCGGGTTGGTTACATCACGTCATGTTCGTGCACACGGAGATGTCGTCAGGAGAAGCGGGCAAACTCTGGCCTGTTCCTGCAACTTTTTGGAAGCCTGGAGTTATTTCAAAATAAAGAATTAAAAAAATGGTCCATGCTCATCTCTTTGTAGTTGAACTCTGTACATACATGACTGGGTGAATTCGTGTTTTGAAACACATTTGGGAATCCCACAGAGAACTCAGCTGCGGTGGCGTTGGAGTGGGTGCGGGGCTGGAGGACACCCCACGTGGACCGAGGACACCCCACGTGGACCGAGGGCCGCTCCCGGAAGCGCAGTAGCTCTTGCAACTGCTGCTAAAAGTACGAGGCTTCGTCTGGTCCTGCCAAAGCTCCCGTGAGGGATTTTTGGTTGTCATCATTTGTCAAGCAAAGAATGCATTTTACTTGTTGTATGTACTTGTCTCAGTGAGCCAGTGACATTACTAGAGGGCACCTGAAGGCAATGGGCAGAATGTTATCCAAGCGTCTTTAGGGTTATGCCAGGGCAGTCTGATGGCCACCGTCAGCCCTGGGCCCACAGCCACCTTCCCGAAGTGCAATGCTGACAGAGCCCCTGAGATGGGAGCTGGGGGCGCAGGGCCGGGCCCCCCGCCTTAAGAAGCACGCCAGCTCCTTGTAACAGCTCTGGGAAACTCAAGCAGAGGAAAACAAGGTGGTTGGAATACCTTTTACTCTGTATTTAGGGAGGTAATGCTTTTATTAAAAGCAAGTTAGGTTCCTTCCCCACTAGCAGATCAGCACAGACTCGGTGGCTTTGAACAACACATTTATGCTGCCTCATGTTCAAAAGCTACCTTGAGCTGGCTCCTTCCGGAGGTGCTGGGCAGGGTCCACTTCCTGCTCTCCCAATTCCTTGAGGTGCCATGCTCCGTGGCCCGACCTCGTCCTAAGCTGCTGGCTTCTCCCTCCCTGACTGCCTCCTCCCCTGTTCTCTCTCTGGCCCGGGGCCCCCACCTCCCTCCCAGAGGGTCCTTCGTGATGACACTGGGCCCCCTAGGCACGGGCAGCTTAGAACTGGGGGACACAACAGAACCCTGCTTGTTTCCTATACATGAACAGCTTAGAACTGGGGGATACAACAGAACCCCGCTTGTTTTACACACATGGCTGACGTGTTATCGTGTGCGGTGCTTTGCAGTGTGTGGTGGTTTTGATTACTCAGTAGACGTTCTTCAAAGGAAACTGAAGGGTGTGCACGTTGGCCTCTTCACTCCTGATGCAGAGAAGCCCGCAGCCTCTGCCCTTCCTGCGTCCTGGATGGCGCGGCCCTGGCCTTCAGGAGGAGTGGGTCTTAGGTGGCTGCTCTCTGCCTTGGGAAGCACGTGGGGGCAGCGGGAGCCCAGAGCAGGACAGCCCCCCAGCCCTGGGGTCCGGGAGGGCTTCCGGGAGCGTGTGGAGTAGGACCCGGGCGGCCCTCGGCAAACAGGGCCATCTCTGCACCGTGCACTACTGGCCAGCTGTTTTTCTTTGTAACTGTTTATAACAAGCATCTATCATTTTTATAGAAGCAATAGAAACATCAGCTAGGGGAACAGCCTTCTGAAGGTGCCAGGCCGTGTTACCAAGCTCGGGGGTATCACGTCGCAGGGGGTTAGGGTTGGCGTGTGCAGGGCGCCAGCCGCCCGGTAACAGAAGCCGGGTATGGGAAGGGCCCTTCTCCCTCTCCGAGGCCGCGGCCGGGCACAGACTGTGGTGGCATGGCGGCCCCTGCTGGCCGGTGGTGGCGCCGCAGTGCCTGGGTCACCTGTGGGAGGGCCGTCCCCTGGGGCCCCCAAGGGCGCAGCGAGCGTTCAGTGGCCTCCACACTCCGGGAGCAACACATCGGGCCAGCCTGTGTGTCTCTGAGGCCCTGGTCACTCCTGACATGGGGGCCAGGCTGGAGGCGGGAGCCCCAGGTGCAGTGGGGGCCCCAGCTGAGGGCCAGCCCCCCGCGCCTGCGCCCCCGGTCACCCCGGGCTCAGGGACCCGTCCACAGGGGCTCGCCGTCCACGCCTGAGGGCTCTGTGCCCAGGGCGCAGTGGAGCCGCTGCAGAGGGGACCACCCTGGGGCAAAGGCCCCGGGGCGGGGGCGGGGGGGGGCAAGGGTCGGGTTTCTCCCCGCTCTGTGAAGAGAGTCCTGGGCGTGATGATGGGGGCAGGGTTCTGGAGAGGAGAGCCCTGTGCCTGCGCTGGTGGCAGCTGCCCCAGACTTGGCTTCTGACCCCAGCGCCTGATGGTTGCCATCCTCACGGCCCCGGATGGGCTGTGGTCAGATGGCGGCTGAAGCCCCTATGACAACCGTACCCGTGTGCCTGGCACAGGAGCCGGTTGGGGGGCGGGCTGGCGGTGGGGGACCCCCACGGGGCCTTGGCTGGTGGCGGCTCAGGAGAGACTCTGGGAGACGGCGCGCCAGCAGGAGCTGAGTCCTCTCCAAGTCTTGGAGGCGGGGGTACTGGGTCCTCCTGGGTTGGTGGCTCATGGCTCCCCGGCCCACACCCATCGGGGCGGGGCATCCGTAGGCCCCACCTCTCGGTGGGCGGGGCAGTCGGTAGGCCCCATCCCTTGGGGCGGGGCAGGTAGCTCCTGGGGGAGGGCCTGTGGGAGGCGGACGGGTGGACAGGGTGGGGCGCGGACACACAGACCCTGCCTGGGAAGGCGAGGACCCCTCACACCCCGCTCACCCCCCTGTCCGCGGCCTGACCTGACCTGCCCGCGTGTCACCCCAGGACCTGGCCTTGCCATATGCGCAGCGTGCAGTGCCTGGTGAGCTGGGGGGTGCTTCCACACGGGCTGTGGACTCCCGCCGCTTCGCCCTGCAAGACCTCGCAGCCTCGGCTCCCTGCCCTGAGGACCGCTGACCCGTCCATTCCTCGGGCCTGGTGGCTCAGCACGGGCTGGAATCGACAGGTCCGAGGCCTCGGGAGCACTCTGGCATGCCGTGGGCGTTCACGACCGGCTGTTCTCACTGACCATTTCGGTTTGTCCAGGCTGTAGCGTTGTAACCCTGCTCTCTTTTTCGCGGCCGAGTCCTGCCCCGCTGTATCCACGCCTCCGCCGCCGGACAGGGCTCACCCCACTTTGGCTCCTGTGAGGAGCGCTGCTGTGAACATTCATGTACACGTTTCTGAGTGTGTGCGTGCTTTCTGTCTCGGGTCGTACTTGGTGGAGTGGGTGATGCTCCGTTTATGGGTCTGCGCGGGTGCAGCTGTCCCCGTCTGCCGACAGCCGTGATGCTGGGCACCTGCACGTCCGTGTGTCTTCCTGGGAGAAAGTGCTGCTCCCACTGG